GTGATATTTACTTAAAAAGTTAGATTTTTAATTGGCAGCAACAATTTTTCATATTGAATTGCAGAAATTTAATTTCGTTTCATCTTCTGTGTTCTATCAAATCATTCGTTTCACAGCAGATATTCGTACTCGTCCTCGTCCTCATCCTCATCGTCGTACTTGTACTTGGTACTCGTAGTCGTAGTCGTACCATGCAAATCACTTTTGTCTTATACATGAGATAATCTCTGATTCGGTTTGCAATTTTTAATGTTTGAATTTAAAATTGACAGGCAAGATTATCTCGAAACTTTGCGTAAAACTTTTCTATTTGCTACAAATTTGAGCAGAACACTTAAGTGTCACTTAAGATTTGATTTAGGATTATAGTTTTTGTAGGACATTTATGTACAAAGTTGCTGTTGGGCACTCTGGCTGGCCACTCTGGGGATTTGGGCGATTCGGGCGATTCGAAGCTGTTTGGCTTGACTTCAGTTCAGTTGAGTTGGGTTTGCCATAAAATAACATTTACATTTTCTGATACAACAAAATTTAATTTACTTAAACATGATCGTTACTAGAATGTGGTTTTCTCTTGTTTATTTTTCAACAAACAAAAAAGACAATGAATAAATAAATAAAAATAAAATAAACATCTGAAGTTGGGGAATAATTAATTGAGTGTAATTGAATTGTGTGGAAAAGTTGCTTTTGTCTTTTTCTCTTGTTTCAATAATTTTATTACAGCAGCTGAATTTTAATTGAATTCCATTGAGTTTTCAATGAAAATGCAATAACTGCACAAATATTTAACCACAAAGTGCATTTAATTTACGCAAAGTTACGAAAAAAATAAATTAAAAAGTTATTATTGCACTTGACTTACAGGTGGGCATAAAAGATATACACAGAGTCAAGGAATTCTTTTTTACTTCACTTTGCATAATTATTAACAAGAGTGGAACAAAGTAAAGTTAAAGAATAAATTAATTTTCCTGCATCTTCATGTTCGGATAATGAAGAAACTTTGCTTAAGGTAATTACTTTTGCAAAAACTTAACACTTTTGAGTTTAAGTTAAAGTAATTTCTATTTTATCCAAAGACCTTTACTGCTTGCCTTATGCTTTGAAATTCTCAGTTCAAATGCAAGCACTACAATCTTTAACAAATCAGTAAAGGAAAGTTGAAGCTAAAGTGAAAGCATCTTAGTTTGTCTGTCTTGGTCAAAAGCATCGCCAACAAATTTCCCCATTTACTAATTAAACAAAAATTTCTACTCTGAACATATATTATCATACAGGGTCAACCATTTTGTAGTGCCAAAAGTAAACTTTAATATACCTCATTTGTGTTAAAGATTTCAATCCACATCATTCAAATGTCCTCCTTTCAATAACTTACTAACACATATTCGGTTGTAAATCGGCCTTAACTTAAATAATGTCCCTTGCGTAACCCCACAGGAAAAAGTTCTGATGACAAAACGTAATAGTTTAGTGGTTAAGTCACATCCACTGAAGTGAAATCACACATCCTTAAAATGTTTCGTAGAACGCAACTAAAACAAGAATCCGATAGGGCTTATGGCTTGTGCTACCATATAGTTCCTACAACCATTTTTTCTATTTCGTATGGCTGTCGTTAGCACAATTCATGGAGCCACATAGCTCCAATAATCATATTTTCCATTTCATGTGGCTATAGTAAATGGACTATAGACTATTGACATAGAAGCCAATAAAGATTTATTTATTTCAGATTTATATGTTAGTTTTTAGCTTAAGATTCTCCAAGAGTCTTCTGTTTGTGTGGGTGTCCTGCATCTATGTAATCATTCAGTGTGGTAGTCCAGACTATTTGTAAGTCTGTTGCAAATCCTCAGCATTTCAAAAACACCTATCTGATAAGACGGTGTTAGTCCTTAGTTCTGAAGAGACCTGAAGAGTTATGATAATTCGATGAAAATTTTTATATTGCGCTAAGAATCGCGACATCCTATATACCAAAAGGCATTTGTGATATATCAAAGAATTCTGTGTTAATATCGGTATATTATTTATTTATAATTTTTTATATTGTATTGTATTATATTGTATTGTATTATATATTGCATTATATTATACCGTATTAATATCATTAGCTTGAGCTCCGTATACACAAATTATTTCATGTAATTCTAATTAACAAAATATATTTTTTATTTGTTAATTTTCTTTATATTTTATAAAAAAGAACATTTACAAGATTGGAAAAATTGTACTAACCGATTTTTCTTCAAGAAAATTTGCTTGCCAAAAATATGTTTGGAAAAAGTATGAAGTGCATTTTTGCAGCATTGAGCGAAACGAAACAACAAATTTGCAATAATAACGGTGTTGTTTTGTGTACTGTAGGAGCTAACGTGTGTATTTGAACTTCATTCAAGCGTTTAAAAAAATTGTGATTAATAAAATGAAATTTTGTTAATTTATTGCTGTTTGGCAGGACACAACTATTTGTGTAAAAAGAAACTAACACTAGAATCATTAAGTCCACTTAGTACTGAAAACCTTTTTTAATTAGTAAATGATGCGGACATTTTTTTTTTGCAAGAAACATGAATAAGAAAAAATTTATTATTATAATTAAATTAAATTAAGTTTAATTATTTATTTTTACTTTATAGACGTATTTGACTTCAAGTACTTCAAGTACTTGTATCAATTCATCGCTATTGGAGAAGTTTTTGGAGACATGCATTTCGGTTGGTGCTTTGTTTGTCGAGAAAATTAACAATAATTTTTTACATTTATTTCCTACAAGCTTATTTCCTGCAAGTTTTAATTGTAAAAATTAAATTGAATGTAAAACTGCGATGTCCTTAAACAGAATGTACATGTAAATTAAATATTTTTAAATGCAGGAATAAAGAGAATGTGCACGTTTCCCAGCTCCAGTGAAATGGTTCAGCATTGATTTGTGTGTAATTTGTGTACACAAAGCTTTAAGCCATAATTATTAATTTCGCAACCGATATATTTACAAATTACATATTTAAGTAATATACGGAACGGAGTCTTTATTATGACCCATCCGTAGTACCATCCATGGGTGAGCAATGTCGGAGTTGCTCCAATTTATTTCAGCGATTTCACGTTGTGATGGTGAAATCAGAAATCTGCTCTTTTAGCAGCTTATGTTGGTGTTATTATTTCGTTAGTGCGGGGCTGGCGGGGCTTAAGTTGAAACGCTTTAAATGTTAAATTGCTCAGTGTCAGCTGTACGGGACATTAATTCGACAACATTATTCTGTTTGTCGTCAGCTTGTGCACATCGGAAAATTGCCATAAAAATTAAATCAAAAGTAGAAAAATATTTATTTAAATATTTTAAAAATTTAACAAAAGGAATTATTGGCACTTAGTTTGGCTTTTAGGTTCAATGATTTTGTATGGTCAATTGGAATAAAGGAAAGAGGGATTAGAAAGGATGTAACGGAGGTTGCAACTTAAAGTAGAAATATAAAAAGCAAATGACTGGGAATGTTGTATTAGCATTAATTGCAAAACTTATAATAGAATAGTGAGAAAACTATTCAATCAATGTGCATTGAATTTGATACATTTTAGTTTATTTTATTCTAACATACCATATAGGTTAAATATCCACCTTGAGAGACAATAAGACAGTATTTGACAATTCCATACAGGTCATATATATTTGTATTTTTGTAAAATAAATATTTCCCTATATATCCATCTACTAATTTATATAATAAGTCCGTTTATACTGGTACAAATAGCAACGAATCTATGGATAGTTCCAGAAAATCTGTCACAGCCGCCTAATTCTACGCACTGGAAACTCATTGTGAAATTATTGACTCTGAGTGAAAGTTGGATATCAACCGGAAGACAGACTAAAGTAGTTAGTTTTTTCGTTGTATTTGAAATCCTAAAACTATCTATTTATTGGATAACTTTGAGTTATATATCAATATATCAATACAAGTATTAATTGAGTTTTTTTGTTGTATTCGGTTTTAGCCACACTCTACTGCGATTTCAGCTTCATTGCTCTTTTTAAGATATGTTTTTCTTTTTTAAGAATCTGAGTTTTGTTGTTGCTGTTGCCCTGCCCTTTCGGGGGTGTTAAACGGCACTTGGTCGTCGCTGGCGACGAGTGGCTCCGGGGCGTAAACCTGACCGTTCTTGAAACTATCTGAGTTTTGTCACTCATCCATATGTATTCAAATACTCACATACTATCCTCTATGATAGCTAATTTATAATTATGCTAACTAGATTCGTGAGGTGCTTTAGTTACTGGGTTAGTAGGCTTAAGGCTTCGAAATTTTCTTACAAATACTTTAGTATTGCTTAACCGGAATTCGCTGAGTGTGGTGAGTGGTCTACAAACAGCAACAATATGAGGGCGTGGCTCCGCTATGGGTAGCTGATAAAAGAGTTGTCAATTTAATTAATTAATTTTATATGAGTAAATTTTTTACCATAATATTTGAATTTATAAAAAATGATAATAAAATAAACTTCGTTACATGTATTTTGTTGAGAAAAAGAGCTATGGTTCATATTAACACTGTGTGCTTTAATATGCAAAAAGAATATATTGTACTTTAACCTTTTCTCCTGTATATTTCGCACACTTTTTTAATTCCCGAATAATAATTAACCTTTTTTTAAACGAATATTTTTTACAAGTTAAGTGCGCTGTTGTTTTTTCTTTTATTTGCTTAAACTGTATCTTTGCTATTTTTATTCAGTGCGGAAGATTGCAGTATGCAAAATAATTGCCACATAGGTGCCCATCGCAATACATACACATCCACACTTATCTTCGACCCTACCCCAGTACACCAGCACTGACTTAATAACAACAAGAAAGCCTTGTCGGCGAATAGACTCGAAAAAATAAACATAAAAATACTTGCATGTAAACTCGTATTCCAACATAAAAGATCAGAGCAAACTTTCAATAAAATATTTATAAAATTTATGAAAGAGAAAAAAGTTGCACTTACCCTCGAGCCTTCAGAAGTTGTTACGCAAGTACCACCATTGTAGCAGCCTTGCTTGAGGCAGTCAGCGTTGGTGGCATTATCAACACCAGTGACCGGACCGATGCCAGTACCAACGCCACCGGGCGCAACTGTGTTCGAACTGTCAACTTCTTCGCTGCTTGCTATAATCGGTGTTTTTGTGATGACGGGCGGATATGTGCTGTAAACTGGCATCGTTGGTTGCGGCGGTATTGTAGGATGCGATGGTAAAGTGGGCAGCTGTGTTGGTGGTGGTTGTGTGGGTGGTTGAGTGGGAGGTTGTGTGGGTGGTTGCGTTGGTGGCATGTAAGTTATAATGGGTTTGCGTTCGGTTGTTGTTATGACTACCGGTGGAAGTGGTGTTTCTGTTATTATCGCTGGCAGCTGCGGACTTACTAAGTCCTCTGTGTATAAGGGCTGTATGGTGGTAATATCAATTGACAATGGCGTTGTGCCGCGATGTGGATGCTCAGTGATATGCATACCATGATGATATGTAATTGACTCATGTGGCAGACTTGTGGTGTATGGTGTAAATTGTCTTGTTACATTCTCGGCGCTCGTTGTTGTTGTTGGTGTCGTTGTTGTTACTTCGGGAGTTTCAAAGTCATAAGGTGATAGCGTTGTGGCATAGTAGGGAGGTGTTAATGGTGGATGTGTGGTAATACGTACACCACTACCGATGCCAGTGCTTAAGTCCTTACTTCCAAAGTCATGGTAACGTGTTGTTACCGAAACTTCGGGATATTCAGTAAAGAATGGTGCTGCAGTGGTGGATATATCAGACCAGATTCGATGTGTTGTGGTAATATCATGTTCGGGGTAATCAGTGAATTCGGTGGGTGCAATTGAAATTCCAATGTCAATTGGTTTTAGTGTACTTTTTGCAACTGTTATTGTGGGATAATAGGTGGGCGAAACCCATGTTGGACGTGTTGTGGAGTAATCAATGGAGAATTTACTTTCAATCGTTGTAACATGATGTGTAAAAGTGGGTCGTGTAGAAACTATAATTGGTGGCTGTTCCTCGGATTCAGCGCTCGTTGATACTTCCACCGATTGTGATACCGGTGTGTAGTCTAATTCGGTACCAGCAGTAATAGGTTTAGCAGTTGTAGTTTCTTGGCTTCCACTTACGTCAAATCGTGAAATGGTTGTATATTCGTCGGAAGTGCCTACTTCAACTGAACCGCTGCCTACAGATGAGTAGGCCGATTCTGAACTACCGACTGAGTCCACCGAATACGGTATGGAAGCTTCAGTTGTGAAAATACTGCTATCTTCTATCGATATGGCTGGAGTTGGTTGTGTAGTAGTTACCGTAATAGGTACAGTTACAATACTCTTTTCGGTTTCAGCCGAAACTGCTTTATGCTCAACATCTATTTTCTCATCCGATACGGAAGCTGATGTTTCATCTTTTGTTGCAAGTGTAGTTAACTCCTGTACGCGTTGTGTTGTTTCAGTTGGTGCAATTGGTTTTGTTGTTGGCGGCGAAATTGTAGAAGGTGCTGTGTAGTTACAATCTAATGAATCCTCACCAATCATTAAGCATTCACACAGCATGCCCGTCAACAACGGTGGACATGAGCAAGAGAATGTGTCAACACCATCAATACAAACACCACCATTCATGCAGCGTGGTCCTAATTGACACTCGTCATACTGGTATTCGCATTTTTCACCATGATAATCAGGCACGCAATAGCATGTTGGCACAGTTTCCTCCATTAAGCAGAGTGCATTATTTTGGCATGGATTGTCTGCACATATAAGTATTTCTTCTTCACAGTTCGGACCTGTGTAGCCCATTGGACAGGCACACACATATGCAGCCAATTTGTCAACGCAAACGCCACCATTTTGACATGGCGCTGATTCACATTCGTTTATCTCCTCTTGACAAATTCGGCCTTTCCAGCCCTCAGCACATTCACAAGAAAACTCGAGCCCAGGTCCTTCGATGCACTCTCCACCATTCTGACAACGTGCACCGGTACCTGTAAATAAAAATCAAAAGAAGATAATTAGATTGCTTTTGTTCTCTATTTGATCCTTGCAGTTGAGTGTGTTGCACAGCATTTGAAAGGATGCGTTACTAGGGATTGTACTTTGTGAAAATGTCAAGCAATAATCAAAGAAAATTTAATCGCTTTAGAATGTGAAAAGAGACAAGTTTGGAATGTTAATTTTGCTATTGAATGGGGCCAATGGAATAGAGAATTTGCATAATATTCACTGCGGTGTGATAAGGTATGGATATGCTAGGAATGGAATAGAATGTTGGTAAAAGTAGCCCAACATGGAATGCGGGATTTGTTGTTGTATATATGCACTCTAATAAAGTACAGGAGTAAACTGTGGCACATGAGTGAATTCTGAATAGTGTTTAAACATCATAAGCCACGGTAGAAAATTACAATTTAAACACATATAAAACGGCAGATGTTATAGAGATTTGTGGAGCTGTAACATATTGGTGCTGATATGTTCTAATTCTTTTGTTTTCGGAAGCATATTGCAATCAGATTAATTCAAACTTTAAAAATAAAGAAAGAAAGTACAGCTGAGTAAGCCTAGAGACTAAAAAATAATGACTTCTTGTAATCCATTTGAGCAGTATTAAAATTAATATTGAAAAACAAGAAAAAATCATCAATCAAGTCAAATTTAATTTCTTTCTTGACTTAATCTGCGTTAAGGGAATGACCTTTAAGTGCTTCAGATGGTGACATGTCGGGTGAGTACGTTGTTTGGTTGACTACATTCGTAGAGATTTTTGCTAAATGCTCTTTCAAGACGTTAGCTTTGTGCCATTGCAGAACACTTAAAAGTATAATTACAGAAATATTTTTTATAAACACACTGAGTAACAAATTGGATTCATATCAATGCATGGTAACATAGATTGGTACATGTAGGGAAAGATTGTAGTGGTGTCTCTCATCTGTGGTTTTCAAATTATAAGAAGAATAATTGTTGTTATTTAATTTATTATTATTACCATTTGGTAAAAACTATACACCACAACTCTGGTGGTCTTTTAGGTTAACCTTAGTTGCTTTAACATATTATTTGGCTGTTTGGAACGTGATAGTCGTAGTTTGTTCCATATTTTTAAAAGGACAGTGAGTCTGTGCCTGAAATGGTTAAACCTGCTACTGCTCGGTTTTGAAATATTGGGTTTTGAAAAGACCAGTAATTGTTGTTTTTTTTTATAATATAAATTAAATATGGAGAGGTTTCAAACAGTAGTGAACTGCAACAACAAAAATTATTTTCATATTATTTTAAAAATTATATTTTATTTTGAAAATTATTTACGAATAATCAAATACAAGAAATAATTCCAACACTACTAATGATTTGTATTTGGTAACACTCGAAACAGCTGTATGGTTAGTCAAAAATTCAATTAATTAAAATAATATAAAAATAATTTTTATGGTTGTAGTTCACTACTGTTCGAAACCTTTCTATTTTTAATTTATATGAAAAAAACAACAACAGTTTTATATTTGACGTGACCATTAGTGTCTGCAAAACATGGTTGTAAGATTTATTGTCGGTAAATTTTTATATATTACCTTAAATTTACAAAAAGCAGTGCATTGACATTGTTACCGTATTCCATCGAAAAGCATTGGGGAAATGTTCTTTCTATAATTTTCACTTAATATACTCCCACCAAGCATTAGCAACCAGACATATGAGTCTTTAGTTTATTGGATCAAAGAATTTGAAGTCAAAATCTCACATCATTACTCACGCTTTTACACATATAAGTAGTGTATAAAAAGAACAATGATTTTTTTTTTGTGGAAACTTACCCGTATCGCATACAGCAACATCCTGCTCGCAATGAACGCCAAGATAACCCGCTTGACATGTGCATGTATACCCGTTAGTTCTATCACGGCAATGTCCGCCATTCTGACATGGATTTGACATACATTCGTCGACATTTTCCTCACAATTTAAACCTGCAAGTAGAGGAAGAAAACAAAATTTATTAAGTTGTGTGTCTGTAAATCGTCTTTCGAGTTAAGTCTTTGGATAAAGGAAAATCTGCAACTTTTCAAATCATTAACTCTTTGAGTTGACATAAAGTATTATAAAGGCATATTTCATAATTTCAACATTGTTATTCTATAGAACTTTTATACTTAATTAAATAAAATTGTATTTTCTTTGCTTCCCAAACAGCACCATTCTTCCATCCACTCTTCCATCCACTCTCCTATCCACATTTTCCATCAAACAATGTAACTCACTTCCGCAACTATTCGCAGCAGTAGTGGCTCGATTGCAAGTTTGCTGGCAACTTTTGTCGTGTAATTCCGCTTATATATTTTATCTATGCGCTACAATAAAATGACTTCGTTAAAATTTCAAGAATTTATAGTTACTTGTAGTAACGGTAGTTAAAGCTCACAATAGCTGAAGTTTTAAATTATTCTCCTCCTTCAACTTAAATGATTTAGAAACTATTATCTGTCGTACTTTCAAGAAATTACAGCACAGCAGATACGATTCCAAAGACAAATGTTAGTGTAAAATTATTTTAAATTGTAATTCTGTAGCGACAATAATTCGCAAATGGCAGAATTAAGAAAATAAAAACAAAAAAAAAAAACAAAAATAAATAAAATAAAATTCTACAAAGACAGAGAAAAACAACAAAAAAAATTAAAAACATATTGAAACAAAAGTGAAGTACTAAAGTATATCCGAGAAATTAAAAATAAATAAAAAACATATAAGAAAAACGTCGTTGCACAACACTTGAGATATAAAATGAGCTTGGAAAATATAAAGTTTTTAGTTTCTTCTCCCGAACAATCCCAACTTTTGTTGTGCAGCGAATATGTCGACATGTGTACATTGTTTGCGATTTATTGCAATTGCATTGGGTGCGCGTAATGTCCTTCCCTTTAAAGTCAGCCTTCCACTCTATACGTATATCACTTGTTATTCTAAGTGCACCGACACCAACTTCCGCCCCTCATGCATTGCCATTTAATGCTCTGCAATACCGGATGTGCTCTTGTGATATTCTATTTCCCCAACACCAATTTATTGTTTTGTATTTCTTTTATTTCATTTCTTTTATATTTTCTGTCTAATTTTTTTTTCTTTTTCTTACTTTTTTCGTACTTCTTTCTTCCTTTTTTATTTATTTTTGGTGTTGTTATTTTCATCTTATCATACTTTTTGTTCTAGCATTGTAGTTTTATTAAATTGTGTAAAGTTACACAAACGAAGATGAAGGAGTTCATGAAGAAGCATAACAAAATATAAAAGTTTAAAATGTGCGTTCTCAAGAGTCAGGACCCCAAGTTTTTACTTGTTTTAAATGCGTTATAACATGTCCTTTTCTCTTCCTCTTCTTCCTTAAACAGTTCCACAGCTGATTTCATTTCTGCAAAATAAATACCAGCAATATGTGCAGATTATACATATACCTTATGTACTGACAGCACACGCTCACTTTAATATTATATTATAAATGCAAAACTTAATACACATTGGATTAAAGTATTTCAGTTAGTGAAATATAGAAATATCTTATTATCATTTAAAGTTTGCTTTCAAGATAGCTTTCAAAATTTTAATAAAATATATATAATAGATATATATGTACATATTTATTCGACTAAAGCACGGCCTACGGACCACATGCGGCCCTTGGCATGTTTCTAATCTACCACAATTACTCAAATTTTCCTTTCATATATTTTTGTAAAATTACATTATTATATTTTTATGGATCCCGAAAAATTGAATTTAAATAAATAATTAATAAAACTAAATTTAACATTATGTTATCACCGTATTTTTATATTTTTTTTAAAAAAAAACTATGAACGTATGCGCTTGTTTCTGCGGCCCTCCCATCTGTATAGTAACTTGTATTGGCACGCGATTTTTATCTGGTCTGGACAGCCCTATTTTATTCGCTCGATTTGTAAAAACTTTTTTAAAACTATACTAATAATACTATATCAGGAGCATAGACTTGTTACATAGAATTTCTCACTATTTCTATCTCTAGCAATAATATAGATATATAATATAAATAATTAATATAAAATACATAAGAGATAAACAAACTGGTTCTTCCTTTATTCTTGTTTAAGGGTTTGTAGTTTTGATCTCAATAGTTGATTGACCTAAGGTAATCCAAGGTTAGTGATTGGGCTGCTATCTTAATATTTAATTTATTTTTGCTGCCAAAGCCCTCAAGTCTTAACTTTAGCACTGTTTATATCAGAAAAGCCCTTTTATGCCCTAGTGAGTTAGTGGAAGACAGCTATTTATAACTATAACTCTTATCTATTAAAATAAATCATTCATAATATTTTCCAAATTAGATTAGGTTGGTTAATAGTTTTGGGTAGAAGGTTTAATACTTTTAAAATAAATTCAATATTAACTCCTTATTCAGTTTTCGTTTTTGCACCTTTGACAACAAACAAACAAACTGTCACTTTAGATGCAATAACACCGCTTATATTCAATGAAATCTCAGAGTACAACAGCAAAGGATCTATTTGTCGTTATATGTAGTCCTCAATAGGTGGTCGTACTATAGATACATCTTGCAAAGAAAATTCTGTTTACTTCTGTGCTCTCCTTATGCGCCTTTTGTTTAATTACAATTTGTGATCTGTTTGTCATTATATGTAATCCTCAATAGGTGGTCGTACTATAGATATGTCTTACAAAGAAAATTCTGTTTACTTCTGTGCGCCTTTTGTTTAATTACGATTTGTGAATATAATTGACAATAAACATTTTATTATCACATACGTATCATATTTTTCCCAAAGTAAATTATTTAAATGAGCAACCATCATCACATTAAAATATCCAAAGTTCACATCTCTGTCAGAAACGTCCTCGAGAGAAAGGGTTTTCATTTTAAAAAGTAAATGACCAATTTTAAGTAATTTTTATTTTATATTCGTGCTATTATGCGCTTCATCAACGTACGAAATTGTCTGCTCCTTTATATTTATACAATTTCTTTGTAAATGTCTTCACATATAATAAATTTTATTTAACCGAACTCATGTTAAGTTGAAAACGGGCTCCAATATTAAACTTACGACCAAACAGTCAATAGTCGGAAATAGTCGGAAGTTTTTGGAAGAATGCGGAGACGACGCCAACAGCCATCGACTGCTTAACATCAAAATTTAATATTCAAAAGGTCATTTTGAAAATCTAATAAAGTTGTAAAAACGTTAATAAAAGATAGCCAAAAAGTATACGAAGAAACTACATCAAATTGCATTTTTATGCTATCATTGAAGAGGTCGTCTTCCCTACTACATATCAGCTACCGGGACTGGGGACAATTGTTACCGCATTCAAATTGTAAACAATTTTACGGTTCAATAAATTTCCATAAAAACTTCTTCCCCAATATTTTTTTTTGTCTTTTAAGTAAGAATATAAATTTAAATTTAAATAAGAGTGAATATCTCATGAAAATGTAAATAGAAAAAGTGTTATGGATGAGCAAATTAAATTTACTAAATTTACAACTTTTTCAAATAAAAGTACGAGTATAAATGCAAGGAAGTTTTGATAGCAAAGGAATGAAGGCCTTTAATGCCAATGAACGAGATGAGGTACTCGTAGATTTGTATATTTTCAAGTGTGCAAGTGTATAAATAGTAATTGTGTAAGTGTGTAATTGTGTAAGTGTGTAAATGTGTAAGTTATACTGATTTAGAGGGAAGTACCATAGCAGGGCATAAAACTTCTTCAGAATATAAAATGTAAAAAAAATAATATGAAACACAATACAATTAAGTGCGGTAAATGCGCTATAAATACACTTTATACCACGGTATTTGCTTTTGTCCGCATTTCAGTTAAAAAAAAATATTGAAGTAAAACTTTTGTGTTGTGAAGATGGACATTCATTGCTAAGAAAACTACAAAGAAATTAAGCATTTTTGCAGACCAATAAATTATGTCGAAACTTTAAAAATAAAAACTTGTCGTACACAAATGCCGCAAAACTTTGTCAGATTAATTTAGCGCAACAAAACGCATACAAACAATATACATATACACATACATACAATATACATATATATATATGCGCACACATACATACAATATTCATATAACATTCATGCGATATACATACAATAGTTATACGAGATCCATACAACATTCATACGATACCCATACAATCCCTTCCTTACAACATCCGCACAATTTGTGAATTCATTGTCAAAGAGAAGTGTATACTTCTATTTTTTCTATTTTCTTATTAAGTCCTTTTGATGGCATGGGTCAAAGTCTAGTATCTATCAAGCATCTTTTCATGCTCTACGTGTTTCCATGTCAAGTAATAGCCTTTGGACTTGTGTCGAACAATGCGATTACAGGTATTTTAAATACGACCTCACCGACTTGAGTCTTGTAAGTTTTATTTAAATACGAATACCACATCTAAGCTTAAAATTCAACATATATCAAATAGCTTCCAGACCAGAAATGCTAGTTAGTTTATATAGTAGCTAATTGATATAGCTTATCGATTTCAATTATTTTGACAAATACGTATTTAATTTTGCAAAAATTCAATTAATAAAAATAATATAAAAAAAGAATTTTAGTTGTTGTAGTTCATTAGTTTTCGAAAACCTCTACATTTTGCATTTTTCAAATATGAAATCGACTTGATTTACTGTGTTGACTCTAACAACACATATTCTTTAATATTCTTTATTATAGTTAGTCCGATAAAAGTAGCTGTGATAGAGAACATAAAGGCATAATTGAGGAGTCCAAAAATTTTGGACACTAACATTTGTTTTGTGGCTCAAATGATCTAATATTTCATCAATTTTTAAGAGAGAACTTTTCAATTAAGATCTTTTTTCTTTAAAACAAAATAAAATTCTTTAAAATAAAATTTGTTTCGTTTGGTGTTTTCATAATTATACTTTTGAATGTT